ATATAATATAATATAATATAATATAATATAATATAATATAATATAACTGTGTGCTGATGTGTGTTAAGAGCTAGGCCATGTGTCTTGGATAAGATTTTTATTTTTATTGTTTCATTTTAAAATGGTAAAACAACAAAAAAAGGATGGCTGTATCATATCAAACATGGGTGCGGTGTATTGGTTAAAGGTCTTGTTGGGTAACTGAAAGTGGAAGAAAGGAATGATCATCACACACTAGAGTTTACGCTGTAAATCCATTAATTTCAATGCAGAACATTTTAAAGCTAGGTATTGTGGAAGTGTCATTTCTCACTGACCCACTTTTTTTTTGACCATTATGAAGTCACTATTAAGTTTCTGACACTCACAGCTCTGACACTGGTTCTCCTTTGGCCCCCAACAGCGTCCATTACATCCTCTATGACATCTCTGACCTGCAACCAGGAAAGATAAAACATTTAGTGATCACAAGTTTCTGCATTTTAATAAAAGATTACTCAAACAAACAGTATTTATTTGAAATTCACCGATAAGACCAGGAAGATCAGTGTCAATTTTGATTTGTGTGCATTCTAATCACACTATCGTAACCGCAATCTGGATCATTCCACTTTATAGGACGGAACTCTTTACATCCGCACTGACTCTGTTCTGATGAAGTGGGAAAGAGTCGTCGCTGACTGACAGAACAATGTTCTCCCTGACGCTCTAGAGCTCTGTCCCAGCGGAGACGGCCCTTATGGCTTTGCTACACTCATCTGCGGTGGCTGTTCTGCCACCCAAGCTTAATTGACTGTTGGGTAATTGCAGTGTGAGCATGACTGACTGATGGAGTGTTGTCCTCTGTCCCTGTTCCACTTCAGTTAAGAGTAATTACACTAGTGGCTTACTCTCTTCAGCTACATGGGCCAGGCACTTTTGACTATCTTCCCTTTTTTAAAACTTTTTCTTCAGGATCCTTTGATGAATAGAAAGAACAATAGTACACTACTATTCAAAAGGTTGGGGTCAATAAGTTTTGTATTTATTTATTTATTTTGTAAATAAATTAATTATATTCTGCAAGGGCACGTCAGTCAAAAGTGACAGTAAAGACAATGTTATAAAAGATTTATAAAAGATTTATATTCCAAATAAATGCTGTACTTTTGAACTTTCTAGTCATCAAAATTATTCTGAAAACAAAAACACAGTTTCCACCAAAAATAAGCAGCAAAAACTGTTTTAAACACTGATAATAATTTAAATAATAAAAGGTGCTTGAGCACCAAATTAGTATACTATAAAGATGTCTGAAGTATCATGTAACACTGTCGACTGCAGTAATGTACTGCATTAATGGCTGCTGCTTTGCATCACAGGAATAAATCACATTTTTAAATATATTAATATAGAAAAGTCATTTTTGACTAAAAAATATATATTTCATAATATTGTAATGTATTCTTTACTGTATCAAGTAAATGCAGCCATGGTGAGCATAAGATACTTCTTTCAAATACATTTAAAAATCATACTGCCCCTAAACTTAAACAGTAGTGTATTAACAATCCAGTTTAGTACTGTACCTCGTGCTCTGACTGGTCAGTACTACTCACATGAGCTGCTGCTATTGGATGGCACAACCAGGTGATCAGGGCGAGCGCTCTTCACTATATCCTGCCAGTGGATGGTATCGGCATGACACAGGAACTTGTTCTGGTCCACATACACCCCTCCATTCAGAATTTCTGTTAAAAAACAGACAGCAACAATAAAACACCACTGACTACTTAATGACTTATGTCAGTGGACACCTCTGAGCATATCATTCCACTGAAGGTGACCTCATCACTATCTTACGTTACATAGAAAGAGCAAGGTAAGGCTCCCTGGAGAACAAAGATAATGTATAAAATAATTTGATTTCTTCACTCAATGACTCTTTTTGACCCTCTGGTGTCATTACTGGCCTACTTCTCAGGTTAGTGAGCCTGGAATCCACAGTCAGATGAGACTAATGCTTTAATGGAACAGTTCACTCAAAAAGGAATTTTCAAATCATTTACCATGTTGGTACAAACCTGTATGACTTGTGAGAAACACAAAAGGTGTCATTTTTTGGAATTACAATGAATAGGCACTGAAGTTTTAAAGCTTAAAAAGGACCAAAACTACCAATAAATTATCATAAATACATGATGTGCAATAAATACGCAGGTATTTTGAAGACATACCATAGTCTTATGTCAGGAACAGACCAAAAGTTCAAGCTCTTTTGATGTTCAGGAGTGTTCAAGTAACACACAACAATGTGAACAATTTATTCAAGTCTGATCTTTAGAATGAATTTATAAGTCAAAATGATAAGTTCAGAAAAATGTGTAAGATTTTTTTTTTCTGTGAAACAACAGGAGAAATCTTGATTGTACTAGTCGCAACTTTTTGTAATCACAATTGATACTGAAATTTTAAAGCTAAACTATTAATAAATTATCAACCATAATTATCAAGAGTTCTCAATAAATGTTATGCATAACATATACAAGTATATGGACGTGATAAGATAGGATTGCTTTAGGAACAGAATGAAATTTCAAATTTTTTGCTGTTCAAAATTGTTAAGAGATGACATGCAACAATTCATTCAATTTGGATTTTCTCAGTAAAATTTTGAAATGTTTCATGAAGTCGTCTCAGGTTACGTATGTAACCCTGGTTCCTCGAGGGAACGAGACGCTGCATCGAGAACGCTAGGGGAACGCCTTCAGTGACCCACGCTCTGAATCACATGTGAAATCAGTCCAATAGCTGAGCGGGACGTCACGGCGGATGACGTCATGACCGGGAAGCTATAAAAGCGTCAGCGTCAGCTTCTAGGAATGAAGCAAGCGCCGGCAGGGACGCCGGAAGTATGGCACCGAGACGCAGCGTCTCGTTTCCTCGAGGAACCAGGGTTACATACGTAACCTGAGACGTTCCTCTTCAGGAACTCGAGCTGCGTCGAGAACGCTAGGGGAATGAGAATGCCCACATCGCCAGACTTCCAAATCTCTGCCTAGTGTGGAAGACTGCACAGCTAGGGCGAGAGAACAAAAGAGTCCGGAGTGGCTAAAGTAGACGGGGCTCGCCATCCCGAAGGCCAACTTCTGGAGGAGTGAATCCTGACCCCCAAAGGAGAGGGAGATCAGAGGACTCGAGGCTATGGAATAGCATCCTGATCCACCACTTAGCCTAAGCTTCTCTGGCCTCGGCCTCGGCCTCAGCGCACCGCAGAGGAAATGTGTAAGAAAAGGGTGTCTTCCCACTGAATGGCCACGAGAGGGGCGTGGTAGGCCGCAATGGCCGCCACGAAGCCCTCTAGGGTGGAGTGGGTCAACCCTGCGGATAAACAGGCCTCCAGGAACTCCAGAACTGTACCAAACGGGC